ACAAATATTGATATCAAATATCAACTGAAAATAGAAATATTTAATGACTTGTTAGAACTCATTGTTTTTTCCTTTAGTAAATTAGTGAATACTTATGAACCTGTTTCTGTTTCGGTATTTGTACTGATTTAGTCAGAATTCTCCAGAGAAACAGAATTAGTAGGGTATAAGTGTGTGTGTGTGAGAGAGAAATATTTATTCTAGAAATTGGCTCACACACTTATGGAGGGCTTATCCTCACAATCTGCTGTCTGGACACTGGAGATAAGAGGAGAGATAACATTTTCCCTCTACCCTTTAGGGCCCCAGCTGCACCTAAGAATCACACTGACACAAGATAGATATAGGAGAAAAACATACACATCTGATACGGCTTTATACAGCACAGAAGCCCTAATAAGGAAACGAAGACTGAAGAAATGCAAAGGCCTACATGCTTTTGTAATAGGTGGACCCAAGAGGCAACTGCGGAAAGTAATTTGTGTGGGAGACTGAGGGAGGATGAGGATTACTTTAAAGAGACCTGTTAGTGTGGAATCCTCTTGGCTCTTTCTCCCCACTGAAGATGTTTCTTTTCTCCTGGTACAAGGAGAGCATCTTTGACGTGAGTTTCACCTTCTGTTTTCAGGGAGAAGGGTAGATTGGAATACACTTCTTGGGCTGGTTTGGGGATGAAGCAGTACTACACTACCCAAGCAATGGTGGGGCACACGAACACCAAGGCCTCCGTCCCAGCTGACTATAAACCTCGGCTCACAGGCCCGCCATCTAGGCTGGCTTGGAGGGCGGGAGGAAGGACACAGAATAAGGCTGTGTTGGGGTGCCTTTCCCCCCCACCTTTATGGAAGAAATAAATAACCTTTAAATGTATTTATTCATTTAGAGAGATTTTTGCTGTAGAGCACATGCACTTGCTGGAGAGAGAGAGAGAGAAAGTGAGAGGTCACCCCCCCGGGGGAGACAGCCACGCCACAATCTCTTCTCCTCTATGTCCCTCTTAGGTCTGTGGGCATGCATGCACGCACATGCGCCCGGCATGGGTTTTCAGCCGCGGGGTCTGGGACTTGACCCACTGTCAGCCATACGGGAGTCCAGCAACATAATCATTATGCCTTCTGCCATAAATAACCTTTTTAAAAAATGCACTCCTTGGGGTCAACAGGTAGTGTGGTGATTAAGGTGCTGAACTCCTGCATAGTCAACCACAGTTCAAGACCTGGACCTGGCAGCTTGCTGTTTTGTTCTCTCTCTCTCTCTCTCTCTCCCTGTCTCTCTCTTGTGAACACTTGTGCCCTATAGCAAATTTTAAAAAATAATAATAATTTTAATAATTATTTTTATTTATTACATTTTTTGAGAGATTTTTGTTACAGGTCACATGCACTTGCCAGAGAGAGAGAGAAACAGAGAGACAGAAAGTGAGATATCACCTCCTGGGCGAGGAATGGCCAAACCGCAATTCCTTCTCCATTCTCCACTCGGGATAACAGACATGAACACATGTACACCCAACATGAGTTTGAAGCTGCCAAATCCAGGACTCAAACCATGGTCAGCCATGTGGGAATCCAGTGATGTAACCCTTACACCATCTGCTGATACCTAAATAATTCTTTTTTTAAAAAATATACTTCTTGCATCTGTTGTTTTTCAAGTGTCTGTATCTCAAAGTAACTCTTATGTCAAAAGTGGTGTGGTGATTAGGGCAGCTCAGTCCTACATGGCTGACTGCAGAGTTCAAGACCCAGACCCAGTAACTTGAAAAACACGCTGGGTATGTGTCTGCGTAACCAAAATCCATAGAGGAGGCATGGCCATCTCCAGGGCTGATTCTCACTTCTCTCTCTCTCTCTCTCTCTGTGTGTGTGTGTGTGTGTGTGTGTGTGTGTCACTAAGGAGAACACACGTGCCCTGTAGCAAAACATTTTTTAGCAAGCGGCACTTTGCGGTGGTGTATTCTGCCACCTTCCAAGACCCAGGGGAGCCGTATCTCCTTCCCAGATCTGAGGGTTCTGACAGCTAGGAAGCTGATGGTGCTGCAAACTCCAGTCCCAGCACAGAAGGCCCATGTCCATCAGACGGAGACTGAATCCTCTCTTACCAGGCTTTTGTGCTATGCAAGCCTCCCAGGGATGGGAAGTGGCCCACCCACATTAGGAGGGCAGTCTAGCCCAGAAACACCCTCCTCACAGACACACTTGAGTAATGTTTGACCAAATGTCTGGGCAACCCATGGCTCATTCAAGTTAAGACATAAAATTAACCCTCTTGAGTACTAGAAGTAAAAATATTCCTGGGGACCAAGAGATGGCAGAATGGTTGCGTTGCTGGACTCCCATGTAGTTGACCAAAGTTCGAGTCTCGGACCCAGCAGCTTAAAAGTGCACTCTGGGCATATGTGCATGCTTGTCCAAAATCCCGAGAGGAGAAAGGATTGTGATGTGGCCATCCTCTCTGGGAATTTTGATTTCTCACTTTCTCTCTCTCTGTCTCTCTGGTGAGCACACATGTCCGAGAGAAAAAAGTCTCTCAGAAGAAAAATAAAGAAATTCTTTTTTTGAGAGAGAGAGATTTTTGCTATAGGGTGCATGAGCTCACCAGAGAGACAGAAAGAGACAGAGATACAGAGTGGGAGTCCAGTGACATAACCATTACACCATCTGTTTGTCCTAAAAAAAGAAAGAAATTCTTAACTCATCTGTTTAATCCACATTTTCCTGACTAATGTTAAACTTAATTTCACTGGTATCTATTGGAGAGAACTACATTAATAAAAACATATGGGGAGGGGAGCAGGTGGCATAGTGGTATGGCACTGGACTCCCACATTGCCAACTAAGGTTTGAATCCTGTACCCGGCGGCTTGAAGATCACATCAGGCACGTGTGCATGAGTGCTCAAAATTCTGAGCAGAGAATGGAGGAGAAGGTATCGTAGTGTGGCTATATATACAGAATGCATTTTTGCATAGGAAAATAAGTCAGGACTTTTCTGATGATCTAATATATAATATAATTTGATATCATATATATTATTTATATATTATATAACATAATCTATATTATAATTTATATATGATATATTTGTAATATAATTTCATATATTATATAATTCATATTTTATATATATATAAAATGTAAAATTATGTACTACTAACTCTAGCTATAGTTTAAGTAGTAAATTATTTTTTCTTTTTTTTTCAGAGAAATTTTTGCTATACGGCCCATGGGATCACCAGAGAAACAGAGAGAAAGCGAGAAATCACCCACCCGGGGGGATAGCCAAACCACAATCCCTTCTCCTCCATTCTCCTTTCAGGATCTTGGGCACACACAGAGATGTGCCTGGTGTGAGTTTTAAGCCACCCGGTCCAGGACTTGAACCACAGTCAACTATGTGGGCATCCAGTGATGCAACCATTTTACCATCTACTTTTATTTTTTTTTTTAAGAGAGATTTTTGCTATAGGGTGCATGTGCTTGCCAGAGAGACAAGAAAGACTGAGAGACATAAAGCAAGAAATCACTCCCTCGGGGGATGGCCATAACGCAGTCCTTTCTCCTCCATTCTCCTCTCGGGATTTTGGGCACACGTGCACGTACGCCCGGCATGAGTTTCAAGCAGCCAGGTCTGGGACTCAAACTGCAGTTGACTACATGTGAGTCCGGCAATGTAACCATTATGCCATTTGCTGGTTCCAAGGATTCAGCAATTTATATATATACACACACACACATACACACACACACACACACACACACACACACATTTGATGTACACCTTTGTGGGCTATAGTATGGATTCTGAAGCACTTAGCGTATAATGGTCAAATGAAGTACATACTCATCGTCAACACTGAACATTACATTATGTATTGTAATTTTTAAGAATTTGTAATTTTTAAGAATTTCGCCAGTGGGCATGTACGTTCGCTAGAGAGAGAGAGCAGGAAACACCCCCGTGGGGGACGGCCACGCTGCAATCCCCGCCCCTCCAACACACCCGTGGGGGACGGCCAAGCTGCAATCCCTGCTGCCCCTCCATGTCGCCCTCCTTTCAGGACTGGCACACACACACACGAACCCGCTGTGTTCGTCAAGCTGCTGGGGTTGGGACAGAAGCCACGCTGCTGGCCATGGGGACTCAGTCCCATAATCTAGGCCACAGGGCCGACATCTTGTGCATTTCAGGACAGTCCTAGCAGTGTGTCCTTTCCCTGCTGGGTGTGCCCTCCCCCCAAGTCCAGTGCCCTCAGCTGCAGCGTCTACGCCCCCCTAGCCCAGTGCCCTCAGCAGCAGCGTCTGCGCCCCCCAGCCCAGTGCCCTCAGCTGCAGCGTCTGCGCCCCCCAGCCCAGTCCCTCAGCTGCAGCGTCTGTGTCTCCCCCCAGCCCAGTTCCTCAGCAGCAGCGTCTGTGTCCATGAGACATTTCTCGCCGCCCCACCCCCACCCCATGCAGCTGCTGGGATCTGTCATCGCTGTCCCCACACCTGCTCCTGAGTCCTTCACTTTCTGCTGGAGACTGCGGGACATAGAGCATTTGTCTCGTAACCGTGTGCTATTCGTTCAGTGCAGTTTAAGGTCCCAGAGTGAAATACAGTTTTCTCCAGTCTGGCACCGGGCCGTCTACAGAGTAAAGTATGGCTACACCTCCTACATGAGCAAAGTTGGGAAACGCCTGCACTGGGTGGTAAGCCCGACCTCGTAAACCACAAACTGATGGGGCGCGGCCGCTGTCCGGCGTTTAATCCACGCGATTTATTCTGAGTTTCTGACTGATCATTCTCTCAGACTATGTGCACTTCCCCCGGGACCCATAAAATAGGCAGCTAATTTCATTTCTGCTTCTTTCCTGGAAAAGGGGAACTCATTGAGATCAGCTTTCAAATGGCCTTACAGACAACGACTTTGAAATATTTTCAAAGGAACTCCTTTGTTCTGTGGTAGAGTGGCCCCCTCTAATACAGCAGCCATTTGTCATGTGTGGTATAGAAAGGCTAAAATGTGGCCATTCCAAGTTGAGGTGTATGGTGAGTATCAGGGGTGTTCACAAAGTTCACAGAAAATGTGTAGAACCAAGGCCAGCAGATGGCATGGTGGTTAAGGTGCTGGACTCCCACATGGCCAACTACGGTTCGAGTCCTAGACCTGCTGGCTTACTTTCTCTCTCTCTGGTGAGCATACATGCCCTGTAGCAAATGAAAAAATAATAATAATGATAAATGAAATTAACTAAATAATTATTTTTTTAAATAAACCTATAAGAAAGAGAAAATGTGTATGGAAAAATCCATACAAAAACTATGCATGGATTTCAAAAATTGTAATTCCATTTCTCATAAACTTTTTGAAGTTCCCTCATTAAATACGCACTAGATTTTTTTAAAAATAATTTTTATTTGGGACCAGCAGGTGGTGTAATGGTTACATTACTGGAGTCCCACTTAGATGACCGTGGTTTGAGTCCTGAATTTGTGCCTTAAAATTCACACTGGGCACATATGCAAGCATGCCCAAAATCCCAAGAAAAGAATGGAGAAGGGATTGCAGCGTGGCCATCCCCCCGGGGGTGTGATTTCTCACTTTCTGTATCTCTGCCTCTCTGGCAAGTACACGAACCCTATAGTGAAAAACTCTCTAAAATTTTAAAAAACTATTTAATTTATTATTTTTTTTAATTTTTATTTCTTCTTCTTTTTTTTTTTTTAAGAGATTTTTGCTATAGGATGCGTGCACTCCCCAGAGAGACACAAAGTGAGAAATCACTCCCCAGAGAGATGGGTACTCTGCAATCCCTTCTCCTCCAATCTCCTCTTGGGATTTTGGGCACACACACACATTCACCCAACATGAGGTTCTTAAACCGGGTCTGGGACTTGAACTGCAGTCAACTATATGGGAGTTTAGCACGTTAACCACCACACCATCTGCTGGCCCCCACACTAGATTTCAAAGACTTACATATTTTGAAAAACGTAAAATATCTCATTAATCATTTTATAGTGATTAGCTGTTGACATGTATTTATTTCTTTTAGTTTTTTGCTATGGTGTGTGTGTGCTTGCTGTATGTAGAGTGACAGAAGGAGAGAGAGAGAGAAAGTGAGAAATCAACCTCAGGGGCGATGGCCACACTGCAATCCCTTCTCCTCCCTCCTCTCAGGATTCTGGGGATGCAGGCACATGCACCAGGCGTGATTTTCAAGTCGCTGGACCTGGGACTTCAACTGCAGAATCGTCCATGTGGGATCCAGCTGCCTCAACCTCCACACCACCTACTGGCTCCCTGTTGAAACTTTTAACATTGTGAACATATTGGTTTAAATAAAATACATGTTCACATTAATTTTACCTGTTTCTCTTTACTTTTTATAATGTGGTACTAAAAAATTAAAAAATTATTGCCCTTTGGCTCTGAGCTGACCCTGGTTAGGGCTGTGCTGTGGTGGTGGCACTGCGAAGACTTCCAGCCAGAACGGCTCACCCTCCAGGCCGCTCCCCTCTGCTCCCGAGTCCCCTGGGTTCTGATACAGTGGGGTGAGATGAGAGCAGACCCGGGGAGGGTGGTTACCGCTGAGGCCCGGCAGTCACTATCAAGGGGACAGAGGTACTGACAACGGCCGACTCTCAGAAATGGCCACACCAGCTGAACGCCCTGTTGGAACCCGAGTCTAGATGTCAGCCAAAGGTCTGTGGCTTGAGAGTAATTGAGTCTGCACAGGGTAATGGCCTCAGAATGACTGCACGGCTAAGGGACTTTGAAGTAAAAGATCTTAGTCTAACTCACCGCAAGGCTAAGGGACTTTGAAGTAAAAGACCTTAGTCTAACAGAGCTCTTTGGCTTTGACACGGAGACATTTTCTCTAGCTGTAAATGTACTAGACAGATTCCCGTCTAAAATGAAGGTACAGCCCAGCACCTTGGGTGTGTTGGACTGAGTTGCTTCCGTTTGACTGTAAAATCAGTAGAAGACGGGAGGAATGACCCACTGGCAACTGACGTGATCCGAATTAGTCACTACAGGTTCACCTTTTCAGACCTGCGAGTGGAGGCGACTGTATTGGAGAAAGGATATTGGGAAGTCAAAGCTACTACTGCCTTTCAGTTCCTGCAGCTCTGTCACTCACTCATTGAAGAGAGCTCGCCATCTGAAAGGAGAAGCAGCCTTAATTTTGAAAGGCAAAAGCTCAGCGTAAGGCATGTCACTGTGGGATCACGTTTTCTAACGCGAAGCCCCTGTGCTGGCCTTGTCTACCAGGGCATTGGAGGTCCAAGCGCAGAGGTATGTGGGGTTAGAAGGAAGAGAATGTCTTCAAGAATGTTCCAACGTAAATGGCAGAGATGTGAGCTACTGGCAAGAACTCGTATGCAAGCGTTTAACTGACAATTCATCAACAAGTGTTCCGAACCAAATGTTCAAAGGTTGAAATGGATAGTTTCTGGGCATACAGCATGGCAACAGAAGCATAGTTACTGCAAGATAACTCACCTTCCAACATGTCCTGAAACAATTCCTTAAGTCTGTGAATTGGGTTCATGTTATTCTCCATAAAGAGAAATGTTTCCAATGCTATAATTTTCTTTTATAATAGAAGGATTAAAATATTATCTTCAAAATAAACAAAATGGAGTTGTAATAGCAAAGGGGAAAAATGACTTCACTGATCTAGTGAAATAGTGTCTGAAGGCGTTTACTCGGGGGTGACAGGAAAGCCATGATACGTTTTGCATGGAAAAACAAACAAAATACATCGTGACTTTTCTTTCTTTCTTTTTTTTAAGAGACGTTTTTGCTATAGGGTGCGTGTGCTCACCAGACAGACACAGAGAGACAGAGAGACAGAAAGCGAGAAATGAGGACCCCGGGGGATGGCCTCACTGCAATCCCTTCTCCTCCATTCTCCTCTCGGGATCTTGGGCACGCACGCACACGCACCCGGCGTGAGTTTAAGCCACCGGGTCTGGGACGTGAACCTCAGTCAACTACATGGGAGTCCAGCGACATAGCCATTACGCTAACTGCTGGTCCCACCACATTGTGACTTTTCTGACAACCCAACACATGTAAGGTATAGGGACATCCTGAGCAAGGACTTACCAATCTCTGATAAGTATGTTAGCCATTTCAATAAATGACCAGCTTAGAAAACAGTATTCTCAATAGCCTGGATATTAAAGTATCTCTAAGATAATATATTTTTATTATATATCATCTTGCTATATATCTACCCAAGTTTTGGTTCATTTAAAGTTATATAAGCCTGAAAAAAAAATAAAGTTATATAAGCCTGAATAGGATAAGAGGACCAAACATAGAAGCAAAATGAACAGGAACCTGGATATTGTACGGAAAGCAAAAATAAGATGTCAGATGGTCTCTACATTGAGTGTCTGGAAACTGTCAGGGACTGTCTGGAAACTGAGGCATCAGCTCTGTGGTTACATATTGTTGCTGCAACAGCTGGACTGCTGAAAAGTAGGTATCTGCATTTAAATATTTGAACTCCCGTCAGTGCATGTATAATATACATTGTTGCCATTTAGATTTCTTAATTCACAGTGAGTCATCTTTTTCTTCAAACCAAATGTTAACACTTAACACATCTACATGTGGTTATGGATGCTCCATATGAACAGTTCACTTTTAACAGTAGTGTTTAGACAGATTTCTGGTAAGGTGAGGGTTTTGTTGTTTGTTTATGTAGATTAACGCAGTAACAAAAAACTTGGAAACTTTCCTTCTCAACCTTGGCCTATGGGTTCCAGTGTTGTAACAGATTTAAGCTATGAACCCTCCAAACAACACAATTGGATCTGCTTGGTGTTCCCAGACTTGGGAAAACTGCTGCCTGATTCGAAAGGCTGTGGTGGTATTCTATGGATGTTTGGATTGTCTGTGAAGCACCCAAATCAAAGCTAAAACCATAAATGTGAAAAACACTAGTGACAAGCCCAGGAAAGTGAACTGTAACTCTTCATTTCTAACACTGATCTAACTTTCTATATTGGATCAATATGCTGTATTTAGGTAGTATCAAAAAAGATAACCTACTTAGTTTAAAATATTAACTTTTAAGTTATGAGGCTTTCATCAAGAGCATTTTGCAAATGCACCTTGAAGGCATGTTGAGGGCCATGGGCAGTACAGATGGTTTCATGGCCCCCATAATGCAAGTAATCCAGAGACATGGATTTTTTTTGCTGCATGGGAATTAAATTTAGATTTGAGGGCATTTTTATATAAAGCAAAAATATAAATCATTAGTAATGAGTTTGGCATATTCATTAAGTTAACCTTAATATTTTCTGTAGAAAAGAGATGATGGTTGCATCCATAACAAAAAATTTTTATACAGAATTTACTGCCTCAATTTAATCCCATCAAGAATATTAGTTTCCCAGGTGGATGATCATTCTGAAAACTTGCTTTATCCTGAAGTAAGTAGAGGCTAGATTTCACACTCGGAAGTTTTTAACTAAAGAATTTAGAATTTAGAATTCTCTTTATGATTTAGGATTCTGTTAAAAGAATGTACTTTCACTCATGTCACTACTATGTCAAAACAAAGGTTTAAGATAAGTAAGAGGGCACCCTCACAGTAGGGCAGTCCCTGGAGTAGTGTTCAGAAGTCACGGGTCAGTTGGTCACTGTGAGGAGATCCCAGCGCTGTCCACACCCCTCAGTGTCCTGGAGGTCTTCTTCAGGATACCAGACAGCTGGTAAAAAAACAGAGTACTAGATGCCAAATTTCTAGTCTATACATCTTTGTGCCTGTGGAGATAGTCATTTGTACGTACTGCTCACTTACGACCTCAACTCGGCTAAGACACGTCCTCAAACTTAAACCAAGCTCACCCACCCACTCATCCCAAGCGGCGACACTGGGCTGTGGAGGGGAAAGCACAGCTTTACTGCCAGAGAGGCAAGCAGAGCAGGCAGTGAGCGCCAACAGAAAACGCTCCCCTCCAGGATCCCAAGTGTGCATTTATTCATTTATTGTTTTTAGAGAGATTTTTGCTGTAGGGTGCATGTGCTTGCCAGAGAGACAGAGAGAGTTGGAGAGACAGAAAGCGAGAAATCACCCCCTAGGTGGATAGCCATGCCACAATCCCTCCTCCTGCATTCTCTTCTCAGAATTCTGAGCATGTACGCACACATGCTGGGTGTGAATAAGTCACCAGGTCCGGGCCTTGAACTGTGGTTACTATGGGAGTTCAGCAACATAACCACTCCACCATCTGCTGGTCCTTTATTTTATTTTATTTTATTTAGTTAGTTATTTGAGATTTTTGCCTTAGGGTATGTGCACTCACCAGTGAGCAAGAGAGAGACAAAGACAGTGAAAGGGAAAGTGAGAAATCATCCTCTGGGGGGTATGGCCATGCTAAAACCCTTTGTCCTTCATTATCCTCTTGGGATTTTGGACATGCACACACACACGTGGCTGGCATGATTTTTAAGCCCCCAAGTCTGGGATCTGAATCACAGTCAGTCATGTGGGAGTCCAGCGCCTCAACCACCATGCTACCTGCTGGCCCTCAGGACCTTCATTTTAAGCATCTTGGACAGGTGCTTCAGTTTCAGTTCAGCTCCTGTTAGTTTAATTTTGATTTGGGAAATTTCTCTTTGCTCAACAGAACAGGGAAACCAGGAGCCCAGCCTTTCTAGAGGGTCCTGCTTGGTTCTGTAGACACAGAGCACAGAGTGGTGGGCATTCGGTACCCGTTAGTGAGCTGCAGTCATCGGCTGCAGGGTAAGTGCTTAAATGTGGACGCCTGGGTCTCTGGTTTCCAGTCCAACAGGTAGGTGCTTGAAAGCTATCACTTCCACTCGCACAACAAGAAAACAAAAAACTGCACATCTGAAAAACAGCGTCTTGGTTTATTATTATTATTATTATTATTATTATTATTATTTAACTTTATTTGTTCGTTTAAATTTGACAGAGTGAGAGAGAGAAAGAGAGAAAGAGAGAGGGAAAGTGAGAGAGAGCAAGCCACTAGGTCTAGGACTCGAACCACGGTCAGCCATGTGGGAGTCCAGCACTCTTAACCACCATGCCACCTGCCAGTCCCTGTTATCATTTTTTTAATTTGACCAGAGAAAGAGAGACAGAGAGAGAAAGGGAAAATGAGAAAGCAAGCCACCAGGTCCAGGACTCGAACCACACTCAGCTATGTGAGAGTCCAGTGCCTTTAACCACCATGCCACCTGCTGGCCCTGAGAAAGTCTTATTTTGAAGAGCTCAGATTCCGTATCTTTCATTCTGATTCCCATCTGACTTCTTACCGATACATAGCTATTCTCTCTCAACTGTTGTCAGTTTTCTTGAGAAGGCACTTGTGCCTGTAAGAATAGACCGACTTCTCTTCACTTTTCTACTATATACTGTCTTGCTCGTCCCTCAATATCCAATTTATACTGTTCTACTTGAACACGTTCTACCACATTTATTTCCAAATGATTTTTGAGGTTTCTACTTCTTGTTCCAACTTCAGTTTATCCTGCTCTAGTTTTATACATTTCTTCTGTATTGTTTTCATAGATGTGCTGAAGAATTTGATTTTTGAATCTAGGTGTACATATTTTGAAGACGCAGTTTCCACTTTTGCCATAAGATGATCAATCTTTTTTTTTAGAGATTTTTGCTAGAGGGCATGTGTGCTTACCGGAGAGACAGAGAGATAGAAAGTGAGAGATCACCTCGCAGGAGGGCAGCTAAGCTTCAGTCCATTCCCCTCTCAGGATTTTGGTCACACATGCATGCACGCCCTGCATGAGTTTTAACCCTCCCAGTCTGGGACTCAAACCACAATCGACTAAGTGGGAGTCCAGCAATATAACCATTATGCCATCTGCTGGTCCCAGGATGATCAGTCTTATGTTTTAGCATACTAACTTGAATATCCATTTCAAATTGACTGGCTTTTAAATCTCCTTGGAAATGAATTTTTCCATTTTCATATTCATTGAAATTCTTCCGTGTCATTTGTAAGAATTTCTTAAATTCGGTTATCTCTTTCTCTAATTCACTATTTTTCTTTACTTCTTGACTCAAATTGTATTCCAGAAATTGTTCTGATTCAGTAAGTTTATTTACGGTTCCTTCCACCCTCAGATGTCTTCTCTCTCCTCCTCCTGCTCCTCTAACCTCATTCCATTGCCGAATGCGGCATCTCTGAAGTTCAGCCTGTCACTTTCTAGTCTTCCTTGTACATTTTCCTCTGGGAAATGTAAGGCTCAGTTCAGACCCCCTAATCTGCATTTCCAGCCCTGGCTTCTTTAAATCAATTGTTCGTTTATCTCTTCCTCCTAGTTCACTTTTCACTTTGTTTCTTTCTTCTTTCTTTTTCTTCTTCTTTTTTTTATTTGTTTAAAGTTAATTTCTTTCACGAGAGAGAGACACCCCAATCAGGCTTTCCACAACTTAATCCACACCCCAGCCTCAGCCAGCCAAGATTATGGATACACAGAGAGGTCTGAGGACGCCAACCCAGGACCTTCCCATCAGTCTGTGT